TTATTTGTTAGGGACACACATCTAAAAGCAAAAACATATTAAAGTCATCAGAATAACATAGCTCTCCTGCAAGACTCAACTGACATCTTCTGGCCAACCTCGGTTCTACTGGTTGGTAATCAAACACTTATTCAGTTACAGCAATCAAATAGAAATCCTTTTTGTTAAATAAAAACACCTCCAAACTGTGGAGCATGAAGTCATGATTTAAGAGCTACTCCACAGCAACAAGAGCCATTTCAGAGAGCATAAAGCACAGCACACTGAACAAAAGCAGAACAGAGAATATCAAAGGTTCTGTTGTCAGAACTCACCTCCCCCTCAGCTGAGGGTAGTTTCCAATACCTACAACATGTTTCCACAGCTAGCATATTTTGGCTGGTGTGAGAGAAGTTTGAAGTCAGTCTGAGCTAAGCAGCTCACTCTGTTTGCTCACTTGTTCGTCGACTGTGTTTTCAGCACCTTTTAGCCTTGCTCACTGACATTCCTCCTCTGCCCCTGTCCCCCATTCTAATTCAGAAAAATAACTACAAGGTAAAAAAAAAATAAATTTCCCTTTAAGAAATGCCCAGTTTAAAAGGCTATTTCCTTAATCCAAATAGAAATCAAAATGCTGCTTCCTTTCCACAACTGCTCTGCTCATTCACCTTTTTCCTTCAAGTTAAAAGAGCCTCAAGCCAAAGCATTCTGAGGGGCTCCTTCAAAAAGCATAACTACTTGCCCACCAGCTGAATTACATTCAGTGTTTGCAATTGTAATACTAAATTACATCCAGTCATGCACAGTCAAAAGCACAAGCATTTAATAAGAAACTAAGAACTATTTTAAGAACAGGTGAATTAGATGCAAAAAAAAAAAGAGAGAGAGAAAAAAAAAGAAAAATAAGGAAGCACTGATAAGTTTCACTTGGAGAAAAGAAGTATATGGAAAGCTCCGAACCCACAACCACTATGAGTTTATGCATAAGATCTCATCTGCTTAAAACTTCACTTAAAACTTCAAAATGAAAACTGAAGTACTTTTTCATCTGTAAAAGTGCAGAAGGATAATGTATTAAGTGAAATTATAAAAAAAAGTTATTTGCATCTTCTCTGCCACATCTACACAGTATCTCAAGCAGCAAAACAGCAGCCAGTACACATTTTTGCTCAGGCACAAAGAAGCCAAACTCAAGCAGATGCCCAGATGTTTGATAGCACACAAATCTGGCATGGGCCAAAGGGCCATAAAGTTGCTGAACAGCAGCTAACTAATGCAATAAGAAATAAGACTCTCTCTTACCTGGCTGATAACTGGAGAGATCTGACAGCAGCTGCTTGAACTGGCCCTCCAAGATAGACAAGGATTTAGTAAAATATCAAGTGTTTCAAATGACAATTACACTTATTTGGAGGTTAACTTCTCAATAACAAATACAAAGAAAAAACACCTCTTATTCATTTCAAACCATGGTTTGTAGCCTTAAGACCAATACATCCCTCAGATACTTTTCTGCTTTCTCTGCTAAGAAGTCACAGTAGTGAAGATTGCATAGAAACAGCATGCAGCTACAGCGTTGTTTCGTCAGAATCAATCACAAGATGTTAACAGTTCTACTTTCAGCTCCTCTCAGTAGAATTTTAATGCCAAATAGTTTTTGACTAAAATACCAAATATGTGTATAAACACACAAATATACACAGATTCTCAAAGTTTAAACAGCCTACCTTACCTTTATTTTCTTATCATCCTGCAAAAAGGCAAGACAATTCGAATGAATGGAAACAAAGTTAAACCTCAAAGACTAAGTACACGAACACTCACCAGTCTGCTGGAATTCAACAGCTTTCAGTGTTTCTGTAGATGCCATGCTTGTGATCTGTTACAGCACACACAGAGCTTTAACACAAGTGAACACACGTATGTGAGCCTATGAAAGATGCAATATTTTTGCATAGATCATGAAATTTACCAAAGCACAGATAGGCTGTTCTGGTCAAGGAACACATGCTCCCCCTGCTGACTGGTTAGTTTAATGGAACCTCAATGGTACCAACATGCTGTTATGTATTAACAACTGCTTACACTGTGAGAGTACAGTACCACTACAAGCTTTTAAGGAAAATAACAGTCTATTCAAACTATTTATTTTTATCTGAGCTTGAATATTTACCTTCTCTGCGCAGGAATCTGGTGTATTTTCCTGTAAGCATTCAGCAGAAAGAATGCCAGATTCTGACAAAGAAACCACAACATGAAATCTTCCATCCATTTATAAGAATCTCTTTAAACTTCAAGTGTGACATAAATATTTTTATTTACAAAAACAGTGATTTTCCCCAGTTTACAAAGAAGTTACAAAAAAATCAAATACATTATGAAGGCCTGAACACTTGCATCCTAATAACCATAATGCGTCAGGAACAAGGAGTAAGAGTTTTGAACAAAAAACAAAGTGGCAAAATTGTACTTTAACTCAAGGTTTAAATATTAGAAAAGAATATTTCTGTTAGTATTTACATCCACGCTTAATCTCAGATGTGCTACCTACATGGCAGAATACCCACCTGAGACCCCAGATTTTGAGAAACATGATTTAGTTGAACGTTTTTGACTAACGCTTCTTTGGACAGTCACAGTATTTAAAGAAAAACACACTGCAAACACAATGAACACTGCAGGATTTGCACCTAAATGTGCTTTCAGGTCCTCATATCAGAGTGCTTGCACAAGTACATTAAGGCATTAAGTTGTTAAACAACATTGTCTCTCCAAGTCACAAAATATGATGTTTATTAATTCCTATTAGCTGTGTTTGCACTTAGAAATGAAGATGTGATATAATCCAAACTGGTAACTATTTTCTTTACATATCAGGACATGTTGTTGTCATCAGCCTGTAACAAATTCCAGGGAACATACAGTTCAATCTATGATTTGCTTTTTAAACAAAACAAACTAACTGTAATGTTATCCTTTTCCACTCTAGGATAATTATGATGCTGTGTGTGAAACTGAGCAAAACTAATGAGAAATTAGAAGTACTACTCTTCTGACTGTGAAATGGATTCCCTAAGACAATCATTATTGAGTAGCAGCTGCAAATACAACAACCTGTATAAGAGCATATTTATGAGTAACACATGGAAACAGTCATCATAGCACTCTATCAAGGACAATGCAGATTTCATCTCTGGCTCTACTTGAAAAAAGAACAGAACAGCCTATTTTTGTGTCCCTTGTACTAGGAGCCTTGCTGTACATCACAAGTTTGCTAGATAACCTTCATAAGAATTGTATCACTTGATACCAGCTTTAATGTAGTTTGGTTTAGGCCCTTTGTTCCTCTAGCCACACTGTAATTAAGTAATTTCTTTATTAAGAGGTAGTCCAGTAACGTGTGCTTTTACAGCTAAAAATCAAAGCAATGAAGTACGTAAGTAAAGACCAGGTATTTTCAGAGCAAATGGAACAGCTCACTTAAAGCCAAAGGTGTTCAGGAACACTGTTTAATAATGCTCCTCTTCACCCAATTGCCTTGCAGGTAGGCTTCATCCTTTCTAAGGTTAATTCATAGCCTATCATTGTGGGGTTTTTTTGCTGATATATGACATTTTTGTCTCCACAGTTTCAGCCTCAGGAAGTGGGTATATTTAAAATTATTGAACCCAAGTGACAAGAACTTCAGCTTCCCCTCTGAAAGGCTGCATGAACCTAAAGCCCTCCAGCAGTCCCTAACACCAAAACCCAAATCTCAAATGTCTCACGCCAATACTGTTTTGCTGATGCCATATGTGCTTGCTTCATCCAAAAAGCACGACTACTGGCCTGCCAGCTGAATTGCTACACGTACTCCAATATGTACTAGATTAAGAAACCTTTTCTAAAGCAAAAGTTTTTTCATTAATTTAGCATTCAGCGTTTGCAATTATAATACGGAATTACATCCAGTCATGCACAGTCAAAAGCACAAGCATTTAATAAGAAACTAAGAACTATTTTAAGAACAG